ATTTCGTCTTATCAACTCTTCGATAATATATCACGGTATTTAAAATATTAAAAGAACTATATATTCTTATTTTCGGATTTAATAGATGAAAATTTCATCATATCTATTTTTTCATATAATCTTCAGATAAATAATTTTGAAAAATATTAAATCGAAATAACTATTTTCAATTATCTAAATCATTTCGCTCTCATTTGGGATATAGAATTTAATATATCAATTTTAGAAGAATTTTCATGCATTAGTTCTGCAATAATTCAATATAAAATAAAAAGTCTTCCTTGCAAATAAGCAAATCTATAGTCCTTCTTATATTCCCGGGATGTGTTGTAAACAAGTTGCCGCAAAGAATCTTTCCTATATTCTCGAGACCTGTTGTAAACAAGATATAAAGAATCTTTCCCATGTTCCCGAGACCTAGTGTAAACAAGCCGCGGCAAAGAGTGCTGTAACAAGCTGCCCCAAAGAGAATAATTTATCTGCAGTCGTCAGCAATATGGCCTATATCTTTTAGCAAGCCTGTCGTCTTTCGAAGTGCCAGGTCTTTCATTGGGGCAAACTTGTGGAGTCCACAATCATACATAACTACATATGCTCAACCCTCCTGGGCACCGGGATGAAAGCCGACAGCGTTGATGCTCAACTTTGTCTTTGTTAGTCTCTTTCCAAGGAACCTTCTGCATGTACACACGCCAATACCTGTGAAGAGCTCACGCCTTGACAGTCAACAGGTCGATTGTGGTTGGTGTTAAAACGATTAACCTTTCGCGTATCCAATCGAACTGAAACAGAAAAGTCGGAACATTTTCAGCCGCGGAGAAGCCTGGAATTTTGCCTTAAACACGCCTTACGTGCTCGACAGCGGGAGAGAGCGTCAACTAAAACGATGCCTCGAGCGCCCGGATCTCTTTGCAAAGAGGAACTGGCTTCGTGTATGTTGTGACCTACGCCTGCTTCGCCCTAATCTTCTCACAAAGCTAAAGCCCTAGCTGTACATAAACCGAGATAGGATGTTTAGAGTTTAGAGCTCTGGCCCCTTGTCCAGGATAAGTTTTGGGAAGTTGTCTGGGAACGGGCAGCCCGTAAGCCTTGCAGCTCGCACCCGCTTCCTTGGAACATGCGGCGCGATGGTAGCACATGCACGAATTTGGGAGCCTGCTAGCGAAGCACTATCTTTGAAGCCCACCTATACGGATGAGCCACAGAATTCGAGCTGAAATACCTTTCCCGAACTTCTCTGTAGTTCAACCTGCCAGCGTTGACTTCGCCGGCTCCTTGTGTTGCGAGCTGGGCTCTGGCAACAGCTTGCCCATGCTGCGACTGGGCAGAAAAAATTCATCATGCTTAGCTTTGGTCAGATGTCAGAATCAACAGCTTTCATACTCGTCCCCAAAACCCTGAATGGGATGCTAAAGCCTCAACCCTAAACGGCCATCTGGCTGCAAGATCACCAGTCGGGCTCCGCCTTCGACTGGTGCTTGACCCTCAGACACTCTTTCTACTCTGGAAGGAGATAAATGCTCTCTGGAACTGTCGGACGTCTATAATCTTCCTGGTCTCCAGCTCTACTTGGGGGCTGTTTTGAGGGTCTCAGGATTTAATGCGCGCAATTTTAGGTTCGTAGGAACTAAAGGGTCTAGAGTCTTCTGGAGTCTTTGAGCATCATCAAAGTTGAGCGTTCGTCGGCGCGTCCGGAGGGCCAGATGCATGTGGAGCTTTACAAATCTTTACAACACAAACAAAAATAAATCCGCGGCGGCTTGTGTAGCCTCCGGCATCATCGGTTGGGTGCAAAATTGGAAGAGGCAGCCCGCGGCAGGTGCCACAAATGTGATCCCTCAGCTACTCCGGGCCACCCTTCCTACAAGTAAGCTGAATTAGTAAGTGTGGGATTTCAAGTCTTCAGCTTCGTCGCCATGAGATCCATCTTGGCCATCAGTATCCTGCGGAACGCAGCATGTACATGCATCTCGGCGACAGCAGCACGAGCTGTCAAAGTATCGAGACTTCAACTATGGGCTCTGCATTGCTGCGTTCAGCATGCACCCGCCCAACCAGGACATATCATCCTACTCCCGCATGTCACGCGGCACTGCCGACATCTCGACCGTCAAGGCGTGAAATAGCTTCGGCATATGGCTCCCTGATCCTCGCAATGATAATCTGAAATGTGAAATTTCCAAGGTTGCCCTGGGGAGAGTGACCAAAGCAAGAAGTCTCACATCAGTGGGGCAATGAAAACCTCGTCAAAGCTGTAAGGCAAGATCAGTGCCGCATGCGCGTCCTCCTAAGTACCTCTTGACAACGCGAACGCGGTCCTGCGTATCTCTGCCTGCTCTGTTGAAGCCTGGGCAACCACCCTGAACGTAAGCGCGGGCCAGTGAACTCCCGCACCCAAACTCTCAAACCCCTGGCATGCATGACAGGAGCGGCCTGCCTCTGCACCATGCTATTGTCATGGATCTGCTTTCGCAGTTTGCCTGTTTGCATACCTGACAAACATGTCGAGACAGCATCGCAAGTCTTGAGGATCTGCTGTTCCATGCAATCAGTGAGACAGCTTCGTCTTGCCGATAGAAAACAGCCTTACCTTGGAAGGCCTTTCAAACGGCAGGCGTCTTTTGCTGATTGTAGTTCTGTAATTCTACCTGGCCGTCAAGCCGTTGGCCACAAAAATATGCCGATGCCTACACAGTGTGAACCGCGAGTGCCACCGAGGCGCTGAGTTCAAAGAGATCAATTGCTTTTGCATTCCCTTGGATCTTCCTGAAGAATCGAGATCAGGTCAGGTGGTGTCCACGGTTGCTCGGAACTTCAGTTGTCCAAGGTCGTTCTGCCATGTGCTTCAGAGAGCTGGGGGAGGGCACAGGTTTAACATAAGATCGACGGGCACTACGCAACCAACATATCAGTGCAACACATCCACCAGCCGAGAGACAATCTCCTCTGAAGGTATGCAGCCGACTTGTGCCAATCCAGCACAGGCGAGTGCTAGGGTACCCAATCCCAGCCAAGCATGATGTCTCTTGAATCTCCACAAGAAGCCTCCCGGCTACTCACTGTTCACATGGACTTGCCTGAACGCGAATCCCTAAGCATCCCAAGGATCTCATTCATTATCGAAGCCAGATTGCGTGCAGCCGTCGAGGAACTCGTCCACCCCAAGCACGTTATCCTGGCCCACACACAAGGATTGCTGGGTGGTGTAAGGTCTAAAGGTGCTTCTGTTTTGCAATGCGTTCTGCTCATTGCTTCTTTCTTCTGGGCTCCTCGGCTGTTTGCGTCCTTGTGCCATTGCCCCAGGATATTTCTAAAGTCGGGTCTTCACTTCCTGCCATGCTTTGCAAAGCCTCCCACCTTTCTCACCTTGAGAATCGCAGGACAAGAGGCGTTTCTCGCTGTAAGGGCACCTTGTCGACACACGAATACGACAACAATGGCATGCTGATTCGAACTGGAGCCCTTGGCCCAGGTTCACGGGTCCTTGTTGACATCCAAAACCTTGAACAGCTGCTTCCTGATCGTAGAAAGGAAACATCGGGGCGTTGTCTATCAAGCTTCAAAGGCCAGCTTTGGCTACACAAATAGCACACCCGTCACTGCCGTGCGGGCTCTAAAACTAAGGTCGCCATCACGCGACAACATCAACCTCACCATTGCACATGCAACAGAGGTCCATAACAGCTCTTGGTATGTTCAGGACTCCTCTTGTCAGGTAGCTTGGCATTCGTCCTCTGTTCTTGCTGCAATGACTTCCAACCATGGCCTCTGGGACTCTGAATCCTCAAATCCCCCGAAGCCGTCAAGCCCCAAGGCCACAAGATGAGTATGAGCGGCGCATCCCCTGGTCCGAGGTCCAAGGCTTCGAAAAGGTTCTTCACCTTTTCGTCCTCATAGGCTTTGGAAAAAGAAGGCTTTTCAGACCCATAAAGAAGGCTGTTAAGGCCATAAGGCCGAGGTTAAGTAGTGAAACTTATGATTTGAGATCTGGGCTTAAGTGTCACATGCTTTGGTTTGGCGCTCAGCGCGCGAGCGTTTGAAGTTCGTAGGTATCAAAGGGAACAGCTTCTTCCTTGGTGAGAGTTCCTAGGGTTTGGAGGGCTTCAGGGCGGCAGGGATTTGGGGATCCGTGGCTCTTCGTGGCTCATCTTCGGCTCGGGGACAGCCTGAGGGGTCGGAATGAAAACAAACGCAATCGATCAACACAGTCCTGCATGCATTGCTTGAACTCTTTGTAGCATACAGAGCCATCGTCATTCACATCCATCTCCCGGAAGAGCCTGAGTACCACCAGCTTTTTCTTTAGAGGACAGTCGCAGGATTCCAGCCCTTGAGGTGCTCGTGCCACGGTGGGCTTGCGTTGCGTGCTGACGGCTGCCATCAGTTACCGGGCTTCTGGTTCTGGGTTTACGGTTTAAAGAGTTTAACTAGGATTCGGTGCCAGCACAAGGTTGGTCCGACAGGTCAGCGGCGAGGTGCTTGGTCAACACGTTCTTGAGCTCATGCTTGTCGACCATCAGCGCCTCCGGCGCAAGAGGCAAAAAATCTGGAGACTTAGAATCGAAGAACCACGTGTGATGTATCCAGGACACTGCATTGTGAGTCCGACCGCATGAAACGAAACAAGCCGAAGCAGCAACAAGCTCATGGCGACCACTCGATGGGAGCCCCATGTGCAGCACTGCGGTCCCTTCTGGAATCTTGAACCCGACTTGCCCGACCCTAGCTTTCGCATGTTGTGCACTGTGGGATCATAGGCTGTAGGATCGGCGGATTTCCTGGAGAGCCAGACACACATCTTCTGTTCTTATGTCCCGATGGCAAACAATGCGGACGAGACAGTCGACAAATGTCGACAGTCTTTCCCGGCTCACTGCGTTCTGTGACTCAAGGCTTCAGGAATGTTCTGCCGTTGTCTGGGATAGCACGCCACGACTTCCATTCTCTCACTCTCTCACCTGCTGCCTGACACGCCCTCGTGTACTGAGCAGCCGTGTGAGGCCCCATGAACAACGAAATTACAGGACATGAAGCACAGTAGCATGTACCAGGGTCTTCGAGGGCAGATGTAATTTGCGCATGTACGTGCCGTCATCACATCGCAGTGCGCCGGAAGCCCCAATGCGAACTTCACTATCGTCTAGGCCCCGGTCCATCAACATGCTAGGCATGGCCAGGGTGCCGCAACACCAGGTAGGTTCCAGTAAACAGAAACCTCTTCAAACGATCGGGCTTCGGAAGTAACGCAAACTTTGTGTTCCCCTAAACCCTAAACCCTAAACCTGTGCACCTAGGGCCTAGAAGCTCTAAGCCCATCTTTGAGGCATATGCCTGCACAGCCATCTCCTGGTCTTTCTCTGCGCCCTTGATCGCAGAGTTGCAGAAGACACCTCTGCAAGGGGCCCGGCCCCCATGTACATGCGTGTGCCTATGTATGATTATGTTCTGCTACTTGAAGTTGTAGAGTATACCAACCATTCGGTGATATATGAATGTACATTGTATCATGCTATCCTATGCTTTGCTATAATACATCACGGCATTGTATTATATTTTGCACTGTCTGTGAATACATCATGCACGAGTATATTCCATTGCATTATTGTGTATTGCATTATGGGCGAACATCTGATGTCATACTGTATTGGATTCTATGCATATACACATCATAGTATGTTCTTGCTATGCCGCTCTACTCTATTGTACTGTATTGTGATATATTCACTTTCAATATCAGATTATATAGTATATTATTATATGCTGTATCATGCTTGATCATACCTGTTAGAGTATGCTTCACTACAGTATAAGAAACTAGATGGTCTTATCTGATCTTACATTGTGCTATATTGTACTGTGCTATACTATCTTGTCTTATCCTATGTTCACCTATCTCACCTTTATCATCTTATCTCAATTCTGTTAACTTATGGCTTTCCAATGTTGCATGTAACAGTGTTTTGTTATTTACCTGGTTGTATCATGTCACATTATGGTATCTTCTATCGTAGTGTCATATACATTCTAGAAAAGTATATTATCGTGTACCACGGTATGGTATATCAGATTGAACTCTGATTAATTACTTTGTCTATGGTCTAGTCTATTGTGTTGGCTTACGTTATATCGTTTCGTCATATGGACATGTAAAACAATAAAAATTTACGTAGTACAACATGATCTGATAGAAAAGAAAAGAATAGAATATAAACAATATAGTACCATAGTGAAAGCAAGAAATGGTCTAATCCACATAAAAGCAAATTCTGAGTTAAGAAATCAAAGATGGAACACTGTAACATGACATGATATTCATAGATTCCATGTCTTTTTTCTGCCCTGATATCTTTTTCTATCAATGTATTCTATATCCATATCTTTCGTATAGCTATGCCTATGTAAAAACCTTTGTCTTTTGCTACATCTATGTATTTACAGAGCTTTGCTTCAGCTTATCTATATGGCTTGAACATGTAAGGATCCGCGGGCCCCTCTGTTGTGGACTCAGCATGATAGCCAAGGCCATCACATCACAACCAAAAACGGAGACCGCATCAGTAGACTGCCTGAGCTATGATATGGTACAACCGAAGCCCCTGGCCTGTCATCACGTTGAGGACGGCCTCATATCGTTCATATATCTTGGACAGCCAAGGGCACATCTGCTGCGATTCTTTATGCAGGAAGCCAGAAGCCAACAGAACCCAAACACAATCATTGGTTCCTGAGGGCTGAGACTGCGGCGAATAAACTGAAAGCCACGTAGGAGCAGAAGAGGTAGACCCAGCACCTTGACTTCCAGAAGGTTCTGCTGAAGCACTCGCAGCTGTGGCGAGATTACGAATCATTTGTGGTGGACGCAGCATCACAACTTTTCAGCCTGCAGCTGTGCCCCACCGTCGTCTCTTGACCCTCTTCGCTTGTGAAGAGTCACTCTGATGCCACTTCGGGTAGCTACTTGGCCAAGATAATGAATGCCACACCATGCTTGGATTGCCCTGTGGCAAGCAGCTGGCACGCGCACAGGCTCCCAATCGGTGGAGATGTTCATACCCGACGGTCTCGGACCCGCTAGACGCAACAGCATAGCCACTAGGCACACTGGTTGCTAGGCGGACTCTTTATAACAAGTAGAAGGTCGGCCGCAGCCTCGAAGGCTTCGTCTCTCGAGAGCCAAGGCCCTGTGCCGATGCGAAGCACCGAACTAGCCGTTGCGATTTATGATATGCAATCATATATGATCTTGCAATTTAGAATGCAATGTACTACGGTAGTAACAGTACATCGCATAATCTCTTACGACTTACGACAGCAACTCGCTGAGCAGTCTTGGCAGCCAAGTGTGTGCGCATATTCGCCGAAAAGCATCGGCTGTGTCATGCAGACTAGGCGCCAGCTGATCCGTTGAAGCGCATTCGTGGCCTCGACCCACGACCTTTGATATCAACACCATTGACCAACAGCAACTTGCTAAGGATTTCTGCAACTGCCACGTGTACATGATGATGACGCTGTAGTAGCAAGCTTGGGTATCGAAGAACAGTGAATACAGCGAAGCAGCAGCTTCCACGGTAGTAGCTGTGCGGTGTACAATTCACCTCGCCTGCATGCCTCCAGGTGTGTCGCTCGTTTGTCACTTGCGAAAAGCTGCTTCTTCAAACAGAAGACGCGTGAAGAACACCCTTACTGTCGCAAGATTCGCACTTCCCGCGTGCGGTGTGTGCCAACGGCTTCTCAGGTCTGAGTGTGTTGCTTGGCAGATGTCGGCACGCTTGCTGGTCCTTGAAGGTTCATGGCCGCAAGGGCTTTCATCGTGGCCTTTGTGCCGAATACCGGCGTTGAAGCTCGCCTGCGGGGCCCCAGCCGTTTTTCCAAGCTTCTGCTGCATTCCTCGATGCCTTGCAGTCCTCCATTTGTTGCGAGTTGACGACGGCAATTGGTGCTGGTCCTTGCTGGTGTCGGTGGTGCAGCGTGTGGTTTTTTCAGTCACTTTAGAAACATGCACTTTGGCTTGGAGCTCGCACCTTCAGCAGGAAGAAGAAGCAGGATGCAGGACCGATCAAACTTTGGCAAGCCCCAGCCCCAAAGACCAACTTCGATGCAGGCCAGCGGCAAACCACCAGCGATGGACATGAACCTGGGCCAACAGAGACGGTGGGTGCTGGAATAGGGAGGGCAAGGAACCGTCATGAGGAAGTGCAACAAAGTTTTGGACATACACCAAGCAGAAAGCCTGAACACCCAGCTCCAGAAAGAAAAGAAAAAACAACAACGTACTTTCAGTATGGAGCAGCAGAGTGTGGATGGACAGCTGCAGGTCTCCAAAGAGCCTTGCCAGTGCTGCGGCCTCCTGTTGGAAGTGTCGCAGTCGTGAGTCTCGTAGCTTCAGGATCTCTTGGAAGGAGGGGTCCGTTGAGGGATTTTGTATTCCGCGAAATGATGCATAGTCTCCTTGTAGTTCACAAAGATATTCCCAAATGTTATGTTGGAACGTGGGAGGAGGAATTCGGCGGGGGGGGGGGGTTCCACTGGGCAACTATCGTCCTCCGTTCTTTCAAAAGCCGTATTGAAACTATGTTGGGCGGGTGGGTGGCCGAAAAAATTCCTCAGCTCAGACAACTCAGCCTTGAGCACTCCACCGGCACGGGACATGATTCAAAATCGCACAGGTTAAATCTTCCTACATGTGGCGTGAAAAGTAATGATCCGAAACCCAGCATCAGAAGCTACAACATGCAACAACATGACTCACACCAGCATGAAAGGTTTCGCATTTTTGGCGAAATGTAAAACGGAGAACTGCAAGTTCGCTTCGCCTTTTGCTTCACTAGACCAGGATAAACATAGCTCCGCTCCGCTCCGCGGGTCATTCAGATCGTTATTGGGCATGCATTGCCCTAGAGAGCTCGCACGCACCGGCATGCACTGCTCTTTGCATGCAGACCGGGTCTTGGACAACGCAGGTCTCACCGTCCTGACGCCTTCAGCAAGAGTCACATACGACAGCGAGGATGGTTTTTGTCGGAACCAAATGCCTGGCAAATGCACTTCGAATTTCGAAGAATCTCAGACTCCCCCGCCCCTCCGGCAGTGGTTCCGGCACGCAGAGTAGCCAGGTCCGACAGCTAAGGTGATCAAATTTAGGGATGAGCGTTTCTGGAGGAGATGCGCCACTGAAACCAACCTCCTATTTCATCCTCCGGCAAGAAGGCGTCGGGAGAGATGACCAGCGCACGGTTTACAGCCTCTGTGAAAGCCGTGGCGAACCTTGGGAGACAAGCTTCGCACGATGCAATTTGCCTGTGGGCCAACACATGCTGCACGATCAAGTGCACGAGTAAACTCTCAATCTTTGTTCCAGACATTTTGGAACTGTTCCTTCTAAGACTACTGAACGCCATTGTCCTAATCCGGACCGACAAGACCCAAGGAGCATGTAAACCAACAGCGCCAGAAGCAGCATGGCCCAAAACCTTCAGTTAATTGCCACATATTGCAGGACGGGATGGGGGGCTTGGAGGCTTTGGGCTGTTGCAGGCAACATGTAGCTTCCGCCCTCCCTTATAGTATAAGTTCACACGGATGTAGATGCCAGTCGTCGGCTCCAGCTTTGGAAGCACGTGTCTGTTTAATGCGTGTGTATGTGTTGATGTCTATCTCTATATCATAGCATATATACATACATAGCATATGTATCACTGTGTGCATGTGCAAGCACACAAGCAGGCAAACAAACAAACAAAACACACCAACCAAACAACCACACAATCAAACCGACAGGTAATTACTATAATTCAAACAACCAACCAAACAAACAAACAACCCCTCACACGCATACATAGATACATAGATACATAGATACATACATACATACATACATACATACATACATCAATCCATCCATCCATACAGGAGCGCATGCCGGCAGACTGAAGCACACGCTACATGCATACATATATATATATATACACGAAGAACTCTGTACATACACAGATGCTTTTCTCAGAAATTTAACTTGGACCATGGAGTGAAGCAGACAGGCTAGACTCGGCTGGATATACTTACCAAACCGTACATGCCAAGGTGACAACCGTTGCAAGCTGGCGGCACTGAAGTGCCCGCACAGCCCCGGACGAGGCTTCCGTCCGGTCCGAGTCCTGGCCGGAGCCCCCCCGGCGGAAGCGCTGAGTGCCCCGCAGGTCTCGAAGAGTCACGAAGATGGAATGGAGAAGGGTCTGGAGCGATCGGGAGAACCTCAGAGAGAAGGCCTAAAGACGTCTCGACGAAACCCTCCCAAAAAATACTTGAACGTCAGTCTTCCAAACTTGTTGGAACCAAACAGTGCGTGGGTTCACAGCTTGCATCCGTCTCTAGCATTGCGCACTGGAAATCTAGAGCCTGCTTTGCACCCGCACTGGATTGAATGCTACACAAACACGTATCTTGCACGCTCCCAAGGGCGCGAGAAACTGATTCACACTCACCCGGTGATGTGCGCCATCGGCGTTCGGAGACTTCCAGGCCGCAGCCCTTTCTACTATGACGAAGGGGCAGTGCTCATGGTCTTTCACCACCTGACGAAGCCATGGCAAGCAGAACATGCCACCGAGGCTCCGTACAACACGCAGCAACCGAACAAGTCGGAGAAGTCGGACAAGCCGGAGAGCTCGCAGGACGCGCAAGTTGCTGCCATGATGTGAAAACCTGAAGCACTCGCGCAGTCAGTTGCGCCGCAGCCAACTCTTGCCCCTCTCCGAAGTCTAGGCATTTCTCGACAAAACAAGTACACCTGAGTCGCATCAGGTGGGTGCAACTTAGGCCCAGGTCAAATACTCTAATCATCAGTGGAATGGGTCACCGCCTGCTCTGACCGCGCTGGGTCCAGTTGCACATGCGTGTGGAGTGCGACACAACAGGCAGAATCTTCACTTTCCCGAGCTGTGGCCGATGAGGTGTCTACCCAATATCTGCACCTCTGTACTCGCAATCTCGTAGGCTACAATTCCAAGATTTCCTGACGTAATGACCACTTCCCACCCAGCTGTGCTTGAAATGCTCGCAGAGGAAAGCATCATGTCCAGAATCACCAAAGCAATCCCGATCAATTTCTTTCTGCAGCTATCTGATTTCAGCTCTCTCCCGCATCTGCAGGTAGCCCACATCTACAGACAAGTCCCGGGCTGGCTCCTTCGCTCCCGTTGGCTTTGAGTTGTTGCTTCCTCTGCACCAGCCATTTTCTCTTGCCCCCTCACGGCCCCCGAAGTCTTGATGCTTCCATACCAGCCTGCTGGCCTATTCTTGACAGAGCTCCAACATGCGGGATATGCGGTGCAGGCAAAGAGCCTGGTTGCATCCATGTTCAACACATCCGCGACGAGCTGCGGCAAGATCGTCAATACGATGACCGTATCGAACCAATTGATCTTGTAGTTGCCTGCATGAGTCTGGGCGGAACACGTGGGTCAAAGGGAAACAGACAATTCAGCAACATGATCTGCCCAACCGACAGGACTGTAACACAATCTGACGAAAGGACTAAGGAGCCCCTATCTCGAACTTCACACGGTTTGACACGTGGTTCGATCACAAGCTTACGGCGGCAGAGAGTAGAGTCGTAGAGCGGATGCCCTGGGCTCAACCGGCTTTGCCTACTGTACAGTATGGCCAGTTCAGCCCTGCTGTCTCGTTTCAACGTGCCCTGTGTGTTCCAGTGCAAGCCAGCGTCTCGATGTGCAGAAGAAGGCTCGGCACCCATAGGCAGCAAGCCGTGCGCAAAGCTCCAACACGAAGAAAGCCTTAATTCTGCCACTGCATGCTTGGAAGGCCGGGTAGTTTTGACCAGGTACATGCAGTTAAACTGAATCCAACCTTGCGCACGGAAGGGTTGACAAGATCTGTCAGGAAACTGCGGTGATCTCTAACTGGGGGTCGATACGTCACAGAGCGGCCGCCCGCAGCACAACTCCCTCTGTCCCTCCAGCTGCAAACTCTTGAAACCAACGTGTTCTGCTTGGCCAGGAGGCATTGAAGGCAAAGCTCACTGCATGCATGCCGTCCTGCTGCATGCCACTCATCCACACATCCCGCAAGTGACTACGACCATGACCATGAACACAGCCCTACAGAAGAGATTCGCTACAGTAGACAGTCCAATGTAGACACTCGACGCCCATGGACTTATCGTTGATGTGAAGAATAGCTCTGCTGGAGCTTGTGTGGCCGGAGTTTCGACTCGTAGCACACATGTCGATTTTTGTTGAATAGCCCTCTTCCTCCTGTTCAATCAAGCCTTCTCGATGTGTTTAGGCTTTAGACTTAGACTTATCATTTACAAACCTTCGAGCTCTTCCCGGTCCGGCATGCCAGTGGTGCGGTGACGTGCTTGCCAATGAATGGTGGCCCCAAGCAGAACCGAATTCGCCAAGATCCTGGGTGATCTGCGAGAGGGTACCGTATCTTCACAGGTCAGTAAGCTTCAGCATGATGGGCTGTTGAAGTCCCATGATCCTTTAAGTAGTCCAAAGGACGACGTGCCTGACACCTCTTGTGCACGGAAACCCGCACCCCGAACAAATCATCGAAAACCAATCGGGAAACAGCGGGCTTTTACGCATAGAGCCCCAATCATTGGCAGGATAGCATTCCAGCTACACATCAGGACCCCCTAAGAAAAGGTCGAGCTGTTCTTGGACGAAGCTTCTCGAATCTCCGCGGAATGCATCGGAAAGCGCCCTCGAAAGGTCTCAACTACGCTAGTCGAACCGAGAATGGTGACGTTCTGTTACTGGCTCTCTCTCATCGTGCTTCTTCTTCTTCTTGTGATTCCTGTTGCTGCTTTGGTCACTAGCCTGTCTCGCAGTGGCCCCACGAACTTCAGTCTAGTCAACTGGTTTCCTTGCCAACTGGATCTGGGGCATCCAGTGTGTTTTGAGTCGGACGAAGACCTGTAGCACTGTGGACTTAAAAACGCAATGCCCGATATCGAGGCCATCAACATCAACACGCTTCAACTACCTGCACACTGAATAAAGCAAATCCTCAAGCAGCCGTTAAATAACCCTTGCAAAAGCACGGACGAGAGTCAACAGGCCACAAAGGAACTCAAACTTCGCGGAGTCCACGACTCTCTGAAGAAAGGCACGGCCACAGCCTCCTTGAGACTCGTTTCCGTTCTTTCTCCGACACTCCACGTGAGGCACATTCATTGAGGTCTGCTGAGGTATAGTGGCACTGGAGAATCCAGCACCAAGCACACAATGCAAACAGCCCCTTTCCCATGACCCAAATTCAATCCACATACTCTCGCTGAGCCCAGAAACCTACCCACACTCCAGCAATAGCCGAAGTAGCATGAGCACAAGCTGAACGAAAAATGCGAACGATGAAACGTCAGGTGCGGTCGTCACAGGCTCGACATGACACAGCCAATACCTCGAATCCTGCCTATTAGGGTCTGGAGTCTCCTCCTCCTCAGCTTCGGACTCGCCGGGCGAATAACAAAACTCTGGCAGTTCGGGTTCTCGTCTGCCCATCGAAACGTAAGTAAGTACTAATTATGTACATGCGACTGCGGCCCAATCAATGCATCTAGTTCTTGGGTCCACCAGTATGTAGGGCGGTTCGGCAACTGGTAGCGCCGTCTGCTATCATGCATCATTCCTTCTTGGTGCTGATTTGTCTTGCTTACAGGAACGCTGGTTGCCACTGCTGGTGCCCTGGCTCACCATCGTAGCTGTGCTTCCTTCCTTTCTTGACCTCTCCAGTTTTACTTGTGCATACACAACACGAAGCTGTGATCATGATGACGCGACATTCCAGTATTCATAAGCTGGCTCGTTCAGCCTCGGCCGAACTTGTGCAAGGGCACCTCGAAATACTACAGCATGCCTGGAAGCCCTGATGTGGAAGGTCGTTCCGCCGAGTCTGCAGTGGACACAGGTCACTCAGCTCTATTCCTCTTCCCTCGGACTTGCCAGGAAGAATGTCCTTCACCTGTCTGAACACTGAAACCCGTGAATCTCAAAGGTGCTTGCAGCCCTTTCGGCGAGACTCGCTTCGAGTAGCTTGTGAAGAGGCTCCTTGCTTGCAAGGCAGGACTTCTCCGCGAGCTGGGGCTGTTGAACAGATGTAGTATATAGCAACAAAGTATATGGTATGTATGACAGCTAAAAACAAGCCTTCCGAGTTAAGTGCCGCCATGGCGCATGGTGGAGAGCAGAGAACTTTCGCGCTGGCCGGGTCGATATATCCCACTTTCGAGCTCCTGGTGTTCTCAAGAGCGTAACAAAAACAACTCCAGAGGTCTGGCCCCACCTCGAGGTGCGGCATAAGTGTGGGGCTCCCAAACGCCTCGTGGTCGACACGCCGCTTCCTGGGCTCTTGAAAGCGTTGCAAAACCGAAGAGGCCCCGAAATAGAACTGGCTTAAGTATCTGATCTCAGGGTCCGCATCCCTTGTAGCAAACGACTCTAGCCCACGGAATTGCGCACGAGCTCAGTGGAGTGTCAGTACTCGCAACTGGGACAAGCCTGGCGAGGCTACTGGTGCGACGAAGCACTTTGACTAAAGCAGGCGGTCCCGACCTTCAGCGACACCCGTTGACCTTTGCAGACCCTCGCACAAAACACACTCCTGCTTTTCTCTCCCCATACGAGAAACCACAAGCACAACGTCGTGAGCTGTTCCTGTTCTTCTGTGACACCTCTTGCAAGGACCCAAGCTAGTGTTGCAGTCTGTGCTAATGCTAGAATGCTCGAGGCATCAGAAGCCCTGCATCATCTCATGGGTTGCGGATTGCTGCCGCTCAGGCTTTGGGTCATGAGGTCCCGCCCCAAGCTGCGCAGGCCCTTGAAGCCTTCTGCGCAGGTTTTGGGAGGTGGGGTGCTGGAAGGGAATACATTCTTCACATGATTTGGTCGAGGCTCGGGCTGGCTGTCTCAGCTCGCAACGAGGGAAGGGAAGTCAGAAGTGTGGGTTGCTGGAACGTCTGCATGTCGGAGGCCATGGCCTTGGCGTCTCAGCACTTCTAGTTGGAAGAATTCAGGGGCTCATGATATTGATTCGGACCAATACACTGAACTGGACCAAGAAGCAGACGGAGCCTTGGCCAGAGAAACTGAACACTGGAAACTGCAGGCAAGCGGCTTGCGTGGAGGACTCTTTGCCTGAGCCCGGTGTGCAGGCAGGGGATGCAAATTCGGTTGGCGGTGCTTCACTGACGCTTCATGCGATAATAAACACGGCTTCAGGGAAGTGGAAAAGTCGGCTCGACGTCCAACACTTGGGGCCAGGCACCCGGAGAAAACTTCGAGGTGAACAAGGCTATTCAGCTTATAAAGACTTGGGGGCATGCTGCGTGAAACCAAGGCAAAGCAAAGAAACGAGCCTGAGGACCTGACACTGTCGACGCTCACACTCTCACAAGGCAGGCGAAGCTCTACTGAGTTCTGTCTCCGCTGCAATGACTAGGAACGTGCTCATGCCGAACCAACTCACTGAGACCACAACCGTTAGTCAGTTCTCTCCCCAGTCACTACATTCACGTGCGAAGTGTGACTTGAGACATTGCTCCGGTAGCGCTGGGCATTGATGTCCGTGGACGAGGAGTAGCATCCCATTCGTGAAAAAGGGTGCTGGCAAATCACTTCCAGGCCGTTTGCTTGGATATCATTTCTTTTCACATGTCGGCAAGATACACGATACATGTGAATCACATGGCACTCGCATCGCCTTGACGACACTGCGTTATGCTCATTACACTGCATTGCATTGCATGTGCAGCGAGATTCCTCCTGCTGGCCGAGTTGAGGCAAAAGTATCAGTGCGGGCTCTCTGCCTCGACTTGCGTGTGTACTTTTGCTTTCATGTTGCTAAAGATGCGCAGGCCGGTGCCTACATAGCAGAGTCATGCTACATAGTGCAAACAGGACAATTTATCAGAATCTCGCTTGAATGCGCTGGAGAAACGAGATCTCGGAAGTTACATGTTCTCCAAGAGGGCCGTTGAAAAGCAACAGGCCACTGTTGGCTCACAAAAACACCGGCGGCCAGTCAAGCGTCACTGTCCTGGTAGACCTGACAGGATATGTAGCAGGCCTGGCAACAATTCCAAGTGCGCGTGCAGAAGCCCGAGGTCAATGGCCTGGTGGCGGGCCGAAAAGTGCTTGTGGTGGGCCCACGGCCACGGGTGGTGGGCCGCCAGGCGTGGAACAGAGATCGTCCAGCCCCCGACCTTACTACCCCCGGGTCCCCGATCTACTAGAAGGACAATGTTAAGGCGACTTACGCGTCTAGATCCCCTAGCATTAGATTCCTTGAACAAGTACCCCTCGCAAGAAAAAATACGTCAACCAAACTAAACACGAAACCCCGATCGGAGACCCCAAAGAAAAAGAAATTTAAAAAAAGCGTGCGCATGCAAGAAAAAGGCAAAGGCAAGTTTGGCCCCGCACCAAAAGTACATAGACATGTAGTTAGATGATGACATACGAACAAAGGAAAGGATACATAGACAATTGGAGTGATAGAGAAAAAATGGCACAAGGATTATTTAAAAGCGGGACCCCTTAGGGGGTCCTTGAAAAATTTTTGCCTTCGCCTTGGCTTTCGCCTTGGCTTTCGCTACGGCCTTAGCCTTCCCCTTAGGGGTCGGCTTTGGCCGAGCCTGGACGAACAAAGGGTTGTTCCGCGGAATCGGTGCCAAGCACCGGTCGGAACGAGGATCGTAACCTCAGCAAGCAAAACCACACGCCCAAAGGCCTTGGCCGCTGCAACGTCCAGTTGCACGGCCGCAAGCAGCTGCCCATTGGCAGAAACCTGGCGTGACAGTCCGCTGTAGTTGTCAACTGCAGTGGTCCATCTGGCAAGCCACGCTGCGCCCACCTCCACTTGCGTTTCTGCAAACTGCCGGGCTTGCTGGGAAACCTGACACCAAATTTGATTGTAACGGCCCATGTAAGAATTAGCACTGGGCCAGGAACAGATTGCTCAGAACTTTCACCCACCTCAGCTTGCACGGACGCGAATTGCGCAGCAGCCTGACAGCAGCTGGGATTGTGAAGGAAAAGGCACCGGAAAGCGACAAGCGTCTTGTTGTAAATCTGCATACCATGCCAACCGTTGCGCAAGGTCACCAGGCAAGAAACAAGGGGAAGCCTGGTCTGCAGCCAAAATGAAGTCTTGACGCAGCTGTCTCACCTGCCGACATAAAGGGAGGTTTCAATGAAGTCTAATTATGCCGAAGGGCTTACGAATGACGAAATGCGAGGGCAAAATCTTGAAACGCCGCAAGGAGTGACAACAGAAGCTCTAGCTTCTCATGGCTTTATCTGCTGTCTACCGAACATACATGCTGCAGCGATGCCCCATGCTCCAATACCAAGCTTCGGTGAGGGCCTCGGTTGATGAGGCATGGAGCCCAGCGGCCATCGCTTGACGTAACTCTGTTGCCACAGCTTGTTGCCATTGTCTTGTCCTGGCAGCTCAAAGAGAAGAAACACAACTGCAACGTAGCACAAAGGAAGAAATCATTTGCGGTCCTGATCGACTCTGATCTTCTCCACTGCCTGGAGGCATGGTTGAGTTGCTCAGTCTCTTTTATGTATTCAAGACAGAGAGTTCCTTCTTTTCACCAATTACAGCAGACCCATTCCACCTGAATCTTGATTGGATGGCAAGCAAGACGGCAAAGGCCAAAGACCTGGACAAGAAGCTGCGGAACTGCCAGCTATCGATCCCATCTAAGGAGGCAACACCGGGAAATAAGTCAAGATATAGGGAATCAAGAAAGAAGGAGACCATGCAACATTTGCTGTATGAGTGTCCCCACAGGCTGCACCTATTTGCTTGCAAACAGGGCGCACGCCGATGTTTGCAGGGGAGTCTGACCTGAATCCAGTTAAACGTTAACAAGAATTCCGAACTTCTGTATGTTGGCCATGTGTACGGACGGCTAGCAGCTGTATGCACGATCTCGACAGTCGTTCTGTATGTGAGATTCTTGACACATGAATGTCATGCACGTTCAACCAGCAGACTGGTCAAAGAAAGCTCAGTCCAGAATCTATTCTCATGATTATTGGTATGAGTCTTGTCATTATTGAATAAGGTTTTCACTTACCATTACTTGTAATGTTGTTGGGTTTATTACCACTAGAATCACTGTTGCTATTGTTATCACTATTCTTTATGGAGATCAAATAGCACCCCAGACATATGCCCGACAAGTAGCAACTTCACTGTTTTTTCAAATTCTAAGCCCCAACATGTCTTGAGGGCACCATTTCCCGCCTTTGCGCACTGCTAAGAATGTGTATGGTCATCATACTCATGATCATATCGTTCATGGAGACATGATAATCATAATGGTAAGTAGCTGTCGATCTGCAACGGCTTCTTTGGCTGCAACTGACCTGTGAAGCACGATGAAAGAATATCACCAGACCAAGCAAAGTTGCGAGCTTCGGGCACGTACGGCACGCGGCGCCTTGTGCCTGATTTCTAATGGCTGCATAACGCCTAGCCTCAAACCCGACACTCCTGTGCATTTCTGACGCAACAGTTGCAAAAACTTCATAGAAGCCTTCCTTTTTACAGTTGTGCTGAATAGTGCCAAACAGTGTTACAAAAGTGCTACAATAGAGCTGCAGTAGTGCTTGAACAAATCGTGCTAACCAGTGCTAGACCATGCCAGTTGTGCAGATTTGGCAACATACAAGTGCTAACTCGTGTGAAATACATAAGCAACACAAATTCAAACAACACGTGCATTTAGCACAAAACTGCCACATGACAACTTCGCAGACAAAAGGGCCAAGACAAAAAGGAACTACCTGCAAAGAACGCTCTCAGATCTAGGTAGCATCGCATCTACCAGTAA